ATACACATACATGCAGGAGCACAAAAACAAAAACATCGAAGATTCATTTCTGTTTTGTTTTTTTTCATATAAATAATCCGAGTGCAATGCACTGCTGATATGTTTACAGTTCTCCCTGGTTGTGTACACATGTGAACAGTTGATAATTATGGAAAAAGTAATTTGTCTGATGCAATATCTCTAGAGAGTTTTATAAAAAGTCAGCCCAGCCAGAGTTGCCAACCATTCAATGCTTTTACTGTAAATTACTTTTCTATTAACTTATGTTTACTGATCATGGTGGTTATTGAATGAGAATAAATGAGGCAGGTGCGCCTTTAGAGTACAATAAAAACGTTGATTTGTGAATCAAGACAATTTACCAAAGGTAGCCAATAACTAAAGGTCATTTCCAAGTCTAATTTCATGTTTAATTTCATTTGGGATAAAACTGGAGTCCTATTTCACGCCACCTGTCAAAGGTAAATCCAATGTTCACTGGCATTTTCTCCTTCGTCCTGTCGGGCCAACTCCTGAGAAAAAATATCCAAGTCTTTATTGGATTGCTAGATGTTGGCCTCTTTACCACTCACTTGTTTTACTCAATTACGGCTCTATGCCATTTTGCAGCATTCGGGGAGCGTCAGACTGTGTGCAGAGAGCAGCTGCCCGAGAGCTGAAGGAGACTTAAAACAGAGGAGATTGGGATGTTGTTGTTTCTCATTACAAAGAGCTTCTTGTTTGGATGTTAAAGTAATAGTTTGACATATTCACTTTCTTGAGAAAAGCAATGCCACTAGCCAGTAGTAGCCAGTTTAGCTTAGCATAAGGACTGGAAACAGGGAGAAACAGCTCACCTGGTTCTCTCTGAAAGAAAACAAAATCCACCTACCAGCTCCTATAAAGCTCACTAATTAACTTGTTGTATCGTGCTTGTGTCCTGTCTTTGTGCTAAGCTAACTGGCTAAAACAAGTTGTGGTTTTACAGGGGGTTACATGCTGACTGCTTCACACCAAGAAGTATTCAACAACATTTTAGCACTTGAGTTTTTGTATGGATTAAATAAACAATGCGTACCAATTAATTATTGGATCCCTATTTTCAGCCTATATGCTAAGTTAAGCTAGCTGGCTACAAGCTGTAGCCTTATATATAACGTATAAACAAGAGTGCTATTGATCTTCTCATCTAACTCTGGGCAACAAAGAAAATTAAATTTCCAAAATGTCAAATTATTGCTTTGATATCAAAATGTTGCTAAATGAATCTTTAGATTTCGAAATTGCAGTGTGCATGTGTGCAAGTATTTCAGTAACAACCATGTAGCCTGTTTAATTAAAAGTTTGACCGAGAAGTTCAAATGTCAACAACATGTCAGGGACAGTTGTGCATAAAAAGGGCTGCCACAACTCTTTCTGGCAACAGCTCCTGGAAGTTTCTGTGTGTTTCGACACAGTCTGTGCCCTTGTAAAGATAGAAAAACAGAACAATAAAAACATATATTTAAAAGATGGGTTCACTGCACGGACATTGCCTCGTATATTTGATTACAACTACAGGATAATGTGTGTATCCGTGTGTGTGCGCATTTGTGTCATTACTGTGTCTCTCTCAAGAAGTGCAGGCAGCAGGTCCCGGCCTATTATTAACCCTCAAAGCCATGCTCGCCGTTTGAGGCAGCTGTGCATTTGGGCAGGGCAGGACCAACAAAGGACCAGCTTTTGTTGTGAACACACACTGCGCACACTAGCGACAAACGTACTATCCCTTCCCATCCGTGCTCTGTAAACATAGAGATCGTCAAGTGCTGATTAATTAGTTAAATGCGCAGGTTCGGCAGCACAGAGGCTTCAGATTCTGTCACCATGACGGCTGCAATCATCGGCACAGAAGGGCCCATTCTTCAAGCCACTACTGTGTTTATAGAGTAGCCAAACACACATGTTCACAGGGCTTTGGCAAACCTGCTTAACAGTCACATTGGGGATAGATTGTGGACATGAATGAATATAAAAAGTCCTGTAATAGAAATAAAGTGAACTTGCATTTAGTTTATTGTTGAGGTACTGACGCGTCATTGTCTCTGCGCCAAATGTGCCTAACAGTGACTATGAAAAACCTGTCTTTGATACTGTTTCATGGTGGCAGCACCCAACCTTACTCTGTGCCATTTGGATTCAGACATCAAAACAGTAGAAATACACAAAGCTGCACATTTTAGAGACATTCAGTTATGTCCCATGCTGCTTTGTTGAAAAGTTCCATCTTTGCTTTTCCAGGTCATTGCCCTTGTGAACATTTCCTTTTCCTGCTTTTCACTGCAAAACCTAATAAAAAGAATGCCTTGCTGTCCATCTGCTGTGATTTTAAAAAGGCTATTTTATATGTAGTATATATTCTTTATCATTTTTATAGTATAGTTTTATAGTTGTGGATTATGTCCAATTTCAACTGCACTACCGCAATGAGTCGCTATGGACAAATAAAAATATACAGCAAATACTGTAAAAAAAAACATTAAATTATCCGGTATACACTTTACTTTAATTTCAGGTGCCAAGTACATTTCAGATTCAATGTCTCGGCTGAGTGACCCTGCAGTGGGGTTGGATCCTGACCTTGTCTGTCCATCTGTCTGTCAGTCTGTCTTCTCACCTCCTGTGTCTCCTGCTTTGCACACACACATACAGTACACTCACACCTCCACAACATCAAACAGATACACACAAACACAATACCCCATCTAACACACAGACACACACACACACACATCGCAAGCATGCTCTGGTGTGCGTCACAAGGGCCATCTGCTTGCTAACCAGAGCAGTTTTCTACACACTCACATTCGTATTCCCTCTCATGCCACTGACACAAGTCTGTGATACTTCTGCGGTAGTTTTTCTTATGTATAATGATTGTACGATGCAAAATAATGATTCAATCTCAGCTTTCTACAGGTGAGAAAACTATTTAAAGACAAATTCTCAAAAACTGAATGTCTTACTAAAATGTGATTTTATCAGGAAAAATTCAAAAACAGGTAGAGATAAAGGTGATGCAATCTCATTCTCAAATTATAAAGCCCTTTTAAAGGGTGAAGTGTTGATGGCAATTTTACTCAACTGCAGATGAGGAGCCTGGTGTCCCATATTCTAACCACATTAATCATACAGCCAGCCACGCCAGTCATATACACTATATAAAATGTTAATTATGCATAATCACCCTAAGGCATCATTCTGGATTACAGAAACAAGCATGTATATACCTAGGTGTAGGTATATACATCTGTATCTTTCACGCTGTATTAATCTATGTGCCTTTTTTCTCTACTCTATCTATTTGCATCTGATCTGTCTGTCTGTCATGCCGGGGTTAATATGGTCTACTTAAGAGAGTGTGCTGCGACCTCCTAAAACTCCGAGCTGGGTGTAAGCTTCATGTTGCTACTTCACAACATGGCCTACAGAGCTGGGCTGGCACAGAAAGCTATTTTTAGCCACAGGCTCAAAGGGAGAGCTTACATTCCCGGCTGAACCGTGTCACTCACAAACTTTTCTCACACTTTTTTGTCAGAGTGCGACTGCAGCCAGCTACTTTCAGAGTGGCTGAGTATCTGTCTCTGCATATGTGATGGGGAGAGACTGACTAAATCTGAGTTATAGCCTTATGTGAAAGATTTAGTAAACGCATTTTATGAGTCCACATGTGAAAAGAGACAGACAATCTTTGTCATCAGGCTTTCTTTCTCACAGGATAAGCGTTTAAATGTGTTTGAGCGTGTGTGTATGCATAAGTATTATGCACTGATGAACCTCAGTGGTAGTTGGTCTTTCGCACATGACTTATTGACAATGGCCCCGTGTTAATTAGGTTGACCCTTGCTAGTGCACAATATCACAACTCACTAACACGGCCTCGCCAGGCTGTTTATTAACCCTAAACCTTTAGGACCCTAATTAGAATATGCCGCTGGGGTTAACAAAACCAGGTGAGGCTCTGAACGGCAGATAAAGAGGTAGATGATTTAGGATAGTTTGGACACACATATTTTGGGTAAATAAGTAGTAGTTCATGGCTGAGAGAAAAAAAAAAGCTGCTAAATGCATGCGCTGGCTTCACGGTCAATTGTTAAGTCAACAAGTTCGCCTGAGCATGCTAATTAAGAGTTGTTAACGCACCTACACACACCCGCGCGTACACAGACACACACACAGGATGTAATTATTGCAGCGGCACACAACTGTAGTCTCTGTGTTCCAGCTACCGTCTTTGCAAGTAGCACAAAATGATGCAATCATCTCCCTCTCCCCAGTTCCAAGAAGCCAAAAAAAATACAAAGCGTAATTAATCTCCAAACTGCTGCCAGAGATACAGAAGCTTAGCAGTTCACAATTTGGACCTTTAACATGATACTATAGTTATCAGTCCTATTGTGTCTATGTTACCCAATACTAAGTGACAGGACCCCTCAGTAATAAACCTGTGTACACAACTGTGCACTGTAATGACAGATGAAACGCTATCACCATAATCAGGCATCAAGTTTTCAGCCCCTTGAAAATACAACAACTGGCGCTCTGTATTGTTTTACATCATCAGATACAAATTTATCTTGCGCCTGACATATTGTGGGGTATATTTAATCCCTCAGAGGCCCCTTGTTTTAGACTGAAAATGAGATTAATCACAGATGGGTGCACTATGTAAATATCTTGTGTGAAAGGACAGGGTTAGGGAGGAAAATGTGATAATGAAAGCAGAAAGACCAGACTGACTGAAAAGAGTGAGAGTCAGAGCAAAAGCAAAAGAGATACGTAGTTACACACACAGAGCAAGAAAAAGTGAGAGGTAGATGGAGGAAGGGTGGTTGCCCACTGGGTGTCTTTTTTAAATTGTTTTAGAGTGCTTGCAACCACATCTGAACAAGTCTTGCATCATCAGGTGGACACTGAACCCTAGAGAAATGCAAAACCATTTTGTAGCTACCGAGATAAATATAAGAAAATGAACATCTTACCATCGTCCAGCGTGATGTCCTGTAGGCCGATGGAGCGGAACGTGGGCTCCCTTTCCTCTGGCTCCTGTTTGATGTTCAGCCTCTCTCCATCCGAGGGGAAGGGCCCCTGCGGGCTTAGAGGATGAACCAGAGGCCCTGCTGCCGGGGACAGGCTGGCCATGACCGGGCTTGTAGCCTGGGGAGAAGGCTGTCCTGAATGCTGCTGTTGCAGGGGCCCCAGAGGACTTCCAGCTGAGGTGGGGGAGGATGAGGTGGGAGACTGGTAGGGCAGCGAGTGGAGCTGAGGGGAGGAAGGCCCAGAGTGCGGAGAGGGGATCATCCGTGGAGGAGGAGCGCTTGACGGTGTGGGGCAGGAGGCTGACCTTTGACTTACCGGGTGGTACCCCATAGCCCTCTGCAGTTGAGTGGTGTGCTGCCCCACAAGGGGGTGGCCACTGGGAGAGGGCACCTGGGTGGGATTTGGGGAGCAGTGATAGCCTCCGAGTGTATGGAGGTGTGGGGATGAGGGGGTGAGCAGGGGCTGCTGGCTCTGGGGAGACCCAGCAATGGGGTTGGTGGTTGAAGAAGAGGGAGCTGATGGCGAGGAGCAAGGGGAGGAAGGATACACCATTCCCATGCCCATTGGGTGTGAAGCTGCACTGGGGCTGTGCTGAAAGGGCATCCTCTCATAGCCCTGAGGAGGAAGGCTGGACTGGCCGTTGAAGGGCAGGCTATGACAGTGACTGTGGCTGTGCTGCATAGGCTGGTAGGAGGGCCGGGGGGGAGCAGGAAGAGGAGCAGGAGCAGAGCTCGAGTGGAACGTCATGTGGCAGTCTGCAGGGGGGTGGTGCAAACTGCGACCCTGGAGGTGAGGCAGGTGCTGGAAAGACGGGGAGCCCAAAGAGGGGCAGGGGGGCTGCAAGGGTAGCAGGCCAGGTCCGGAGCCCGTGGCCAGGCCGTGAGGGGAGCTGGACAGAAGGTTGTCCGATGGGTGGCCCTGCTCAGGAGAAGGCAGCTGGGTGCGCACCAGACTGGCAGCATGTGCCAGGGGCATGGACATAGGGGGTACTGCAGGAAGGTCCAGCTCGTCTCTGTGCTCCTGTTTCACCATGACTGAAGAGAGAGAGGTGTACACAGACAGAGGGAGGAAGAGAGATGTGACGAAAGAGGAAAGACAGGCAGGATGAAAGACAAAAAAAAAACACGCTGTCAGTTTCATTTATCAATCAAAAACTGCAAGTAGGGAAGGAAAGAAATAATCTATAAATTGGTCAAGTCACTGCATTGCAACATTGTCAGTGTCACTGCTATTTTTTGCTTCCGGTACAGTAGTCCAGTGACTTCAACCAGCTAAAAAAAGACTGCAGTTGTTTTATGTTTTCCTTTATTCTGAACCCCCAACTAATTGCCTCATCTGTGGCTTTAAAGGTGAAATCTGTTTCAATAAAACCTGAAAAACTAGGTCATGAGAAGCTCAAAGCAGCGAGCATAGTCGCACATTTCATATAATGAAATGTATGGATTGTGAAATAGGTCTCCTTCCAGATGAAAAAAGCCTACCTAAAACCGAGTGACATTTTGATAGTAAATGGGGCCATTCCCTTTTACTGTGACAGCTCACAGCACTGCTATGCCAATCAGTAACCTATTTCCCAATCTGGTGCCTTGTGACAGTGAGTTTTATTTTTATCCAGCTCTGAATCAGAGGGAGAGCATATGTTGTCAGTTCAGGCGCCATCATGTGAAATGCTGTGTGGGAAGAGGAGCCGAATGCCCCGCAGCCGAGATCAGACCAACAGAACAAACAAGTTCACTGATCTTGCCCTCTACTCACCCCATCATGCCTCTGGGATCGAGAGGCAAGGGGCACAAAAAGGCCAAGCGGGGTTTATTCTGGCTAAAAATGGAGCCAGAGGCATATCAAGGGTAAGGGAAGGGTAACATACTGTATATTCAAACATGGAACATAATTGAAGTCAGGCTAGTACTGTTTCAAAATTGAGCTTAATAGTGTGCTCCTTATGTTCTGTACTGCTCCCTGCCTGAAAATGAAACAATTTCAAAATACAAAACAAGAACAAATGGCATTTTGTCCCCCAAATTTATTCCACAACATGTTTTTTTCCAGCCAATTTTCTCAGAATTCATCCTTGAATTAGGCCAGGGCCTCTGCAGCCCAGCCCACGATAAAACTTGCCACAATAAAGCAGGCGGTGTCCGTGGTGACACTAGTGGTGTCAGCAACCCGGCTTGACTGACAGAGCAGGGTTACTCTACTCTGCTCTGATTGGCCGCCCTAATCTGTCAACGGTGAAAACAGGAACTCTCTGTGCCGAGTGGGCGTGCTTGCAAACAGAAAGGTTGGGTGGGTGGAGGGGCCAGGCCGCTTATATGCGTACACGCACGCACAAACATCCACACTGTTGTGGTAAAACCCAGGGTTTAGATATGTTGCACAAAATGCTCACATGTCATTATATTCCGCCAACGGTGTTTTCAGTTTGACTGGCTTCAAGAGGAAAAGAATACAATAACAATATCAAATAGCACGGCAGGAATTTGACTAATGAAAAACACTGAGGAAACTTTCAAATCAAAATATCATGAACACAAGTTTCCTTGCTGCTAAAATAATTCTATCAAACCACAACTCAAAGTCTATATATAGTTAAAGTTTCCTGGATAGCAAAAGATTTGCATCATAAAACCCCATGCAAATACAGTAAATGTGAGAAAAAAAAAGGTTGGCTTGAGAGTTTGAGTAGGCCTTGCAAAATAAACAGTTGGCAGGTGTTAATGTTATTGTTAGTGGAAGAGTCCCCTCTAAACCACAGCAATGCTTTCTTTGGAGTGAGAAAGAGAGAAATGGGGTTAGTAAAGCCCCTGTGGAGAAGTGTGCAACACAGAGGGAACGTTACAACTGTCTCTGCTGTCAGTCAAACTTCTTGTCATTACCTTGGGAGATTAACTGCGGCAGGAAGCAATGCACCCAAAGGAACGCAAAGTAAAGGCTGACAGAATCGCTTTGTGTAAGTGTCTGTTAAATGAGCTGCAGGAAAATTGCATCTTAAATACTTAAAAGCACATAAAAACAGCATAAGATTAGCAAAATTGTCAAACTGGCTTTGTCCCCCAAGGATTATTTTTTAAATATAGCAGTTGTAAGTCGAGGTTCATGAGAGCCTCTCATCTCACCTGAAAGGTAGGTGAAGCGTTGTGATTGGCTCCTTTTCCGTTTGCCATTGCAGACATAAAACTGCACCTGCACAGCTGAGCCCACAGTCTTACTGTGGTAGGGAGGGACCTCCACCACAATGCACAACTACAAAAAATGTTTCACATTATTTACATACACTTATTGCCCACAACACATAATACCATTTGCATATAATAAAATGCAAATACTAGTACAAAAAATAAAAGTTTATAAAAGTGCAAAAATTAAAGACAAAATGTTGTAGAATAACTGTACAGGTCAAAAAATTACTACTTACTCCTTGAGATTTCTCACGGATTATTTTTGCCTCAACTTCCCATTGTGGACGTCCATCTAGAAAGGATGAATAAGAACAAAAAAGCTTTAAAAGCCTTTTACTTTACATACTACAGTAAATACTAGAATCATTTCTGTCACATCCTGTCAACTCTCAAATAAACAGTTGGCAGGTGTCAATGTTAAAATCAACTGTAATTCCTATTACTTGACAGACAAGTTCTTGAGTGCAGGTCTGGCACAAACACAGTACCCTGGCTGCCTGGCTTTTCAATGAAGAAAGGATTGAGAGAGACACTTGTGATGAATCAGACTACAGTATCACTGTATCACATACAAGTCACAAACATTTATACAGGCACAAACCACAAATGAATGAATGAATTAAAATGAATAAAATTTGAATTGATAACTAACACAGAAGCAGTAATAAACCCAGGCCACGCGTGAACACTAATGACCAGAGTTTTATCATTTAGACTCCTTTTGAAGTATAGTATATTATTCAAAGTGACTTTCCTCATCTGGAGTAGTTCTCTTTCTTTATTTTCTGTTTTCCTAAAGATGATGTCAGTGTACAGCTCTTTCTCAAACAGACAGGGCTCAAAACCACATGAGGCTTCAGAAAAGCACACGATTTCAATTTGTCCTGGAGAACTAAGAGACATCAAAATGATGTCATTTTTAAAGGTCCAGAAGCCCCATGGAGAAAATCTTAGCAGCTATTAAATAGCAATCAAATGTCCAAATATCCTGCTGTTTGTCTTGCCTGGTTAAAATTATGGAGAGAGCAGTGGAATAATTACATTTATTTTAAAATGCCTTTACAAACTGCCAGGTTTCTGGCTAGAAAACATCCTTTCCAGTTTTCCTATGAGGGATCTAATTATTTGGCCAGACATCTTAGGGGCAGCTGCTTGAAGGGAAGCAGTTGGGGTGAAAACACTGACAGGCTTGCCGTATGGTTGGAAGAAATCACAATCATCACAGCATCGAGAAGAATAAAAACTTAGTCATTACTGTATAGTCTCTAAGCGGAGGCAAATTCATTTTGCAGTCCCCCGTTTCATGCTGCTCACATGGTGGAAGTATACTCTGCACCTGCATGGCCTCTTCCTCAAAACCCAAAGGATTCCCCCAAATACCACTGTCAGACATCTGCAACATGTCTGCAGAGAGGACTAGCCTATATGTAGAGTAAGCACTCATCTGTAAGCCTCGCAACATTTAGGCTATTCAACTTTTCGCACTCTACGGTAGCTTTAAGCAGATGGTTTACCTGTTCTGATCTCACCCTAGCATTAGCCTTAGTTGTAGTAATCCACTGGCGCATAACCCTTGACAGATTATCTGTATTGTGAAAGAAAAGCTTAACTTGTAGATGACAGAGAGTTTTTTTTTCTTTTCCAATGAGCAAATGACCTTGAATGTCTTTGCAGCTGACAGCAGTGCATTATTGCAGTGCAGCTTGTTGACATTCAACAGGCAGGAGCAAGGGCCCCACATGCTCTGTCAGACAACAAGCACCAACAGGAACCTCATACCACACTAAGACAATGACTCGGATCATCCAGACACCCTGCACACCCCAGTCAGAGGGAGGGGGGGCGGGGAGAACGTGCACCCACTGTGCCGCAAGATCGAGCAAAAGTAAAGGGGGTGATTGCTGTTTATGTTGTAACATCTTTGTAAAAGCCCACAGTTGTTTGCAACAGAAACAACACAGAGTACACATGCTGTATTAGTCACTATTCAGGGCAGCCAGTGTTAGAGCCTTTAAAGTCCACTCCTTTGTATAAACATTCACCCTTGTAAAGTAGAAATACTCATACCAATTATGGAAATATTTCTAACTTTAATGTTTGATGAAGCCCCTTTATCTGTCTTCCCTTTCCTCTTCCTTTTATCATTTCTTATTCCCTAAATACTACTTCAAAACACAATGAGATAGTTAACTAACTTTGGTGAGTAATTTACTAATATGAGTAAAAAAAGATTTTTTTATTACAGTGTATCTGCTTTAAATGGAAACAGGTCCCACAATGACACATGCTAGGTTCTCTGTTTGTCTACATAGTAAAGTCATTTATAGTACCATCCCATAATCTCTGTGTACTAGCAACAATAGGCCAGTCTCTCCAGTTTTTCATGAATCTGCTGTTGTTTTTCAATTATGAGAGATGGTGGAAAAATATCTGTCACTGCCTCTTTTTTTCTTTTCTTCCATTCCCATACTTACTACAATCAGGGCCTTTCTGCACTAAAGCAGGTGGATTAGTCATGATGAGGGGGATCATTTACACAAACCTAATCAACATCATCTTCCCCTCCCCTTTCATATTCCTTCTGTCTCCTTCCACAGTCCACTGCCTTCATACACCACAGGGCCCCAGCTTTCCTCCCTCCCCAAGATGCACCTCTCTAAGAAAAGTAGTTCCACTTGCTGCTGTGCTACAAAAGACTTGACCATCAGTGAGCTGTTTCAACCATGCTACTTTTCTATGCCATGCTTCACTTGGTACACCTCAGAGCTAAAGACATTCCTCTAAGCTCCTTTTTTTTCCCAAGTCTTAGAGAATGGCTCTCACTCGCAAAAAACAACACCACTCAACTTTCTGCCATGTGTGAACTTGATGCTGTTGCAGCACATCACAAAGGTACCTCGGGCAGGCAGAGACTGGCTCCACAAATGTTATCCATTTAAAATTTCCACCCAAGGGAACAACTATTACATGTGTTTTGATTACCGAGTGGTGTACAAAAGAGAAAAGAGATAAGGCAGAGAAAGACGAGTGACTTAACAGGATGAATAGCACAGGGAGTTTGACCAAGTAATCTCTTTAGCCTTGGCATTTGTAAAACAGATAATAGCAACTTTTAAAGTGCCTACTTTTAGGAAACTACATTCATCCTGACTCTCAAGCTCCCACCCTCTCTACATAGGTGTAGATAGGAGTCGATACTGCAGGGTGCAGCAGTGCATCCTGCACTGGCTTCCTAACTGCAAACACTGCTAACTGTGATCACTGTAGATGCAGGACATGTGCCCCCCTTCACTATTCTCCTTCTTTTAGCAGTTCACACTTGCTTGTGTTAGACAGAAAAATGGGGGTATTGATATTCCTGATACATAATTGATAAGGCATGCATCTGTTTTGTGTATCCATTATTAAATGCATATTTATGAACATATTTGCCTGTAACATTAAGCATGTGTTTCTGTGTTTTTATCCTATACATTTTTACTTTCTTTGTCACATAAATAATAATAATATATAAAAAAAACGTCTGAGTAATAAGTAAACTAAGCGTGGCTAATGAACAAAACATTTTAAATTTTCTATTGTGTAATATACTGCAGTGGTTTGAGCCTGATATGAAAAATTGCCATAAATAAATAACTAAACTGACTGTAGTGTTTGCTTTAAGTGAATATGTTGAATTTTGTTGTAAGGAAAATTCGGTTTATTGCCTCAGGCTCTGAGCATATTGTCCCACGCCTACTTGATAGACAACATTACTAGCAGACATAAATCTGTTCTGGTTTTGACGTAATGCCCTGTGGCTGTAGAGGACTTGTTGAGGCTGGGATAATGACAGATCTGAGGACTAATGCATGCACATGCACACACACACATACGTTTTCAAGAATTCAGCGTTAGGTTTAATACATTTATGAGAAACTACATTTTATCTAGATATTTTTATGTTCTTGTGAACATAAAGATCCTATTCCAAAGAAATATGGAAGACACAGAACACTTTAAGTTATGGACTTTTTTGCAATAATACAACATACAAAATAGTACCCAAAAAGATTGTTCCACTATAGAAAATAATGAGAATTACTAGGTATAATTATTTACAAAATGGAAATTAAAAACATCCTTTTTATATTTCTCTGTCACTGGGCTTCAAAGTAACGTTTTCCTCCAATTGCGTCGTTGTTCCCTACTGAGATGTTTGAGAAAACCAGTCCAAATTTAAGAGCAACATTTTCTGTAAAATACACACTTAGAGCAATACACGTCTTTTAATATCCCCACAGATATGTATCAGCCATGACTCCTATAAAATCTTCAGAATCTACTGCTGGCTTCTGCAACATTTGCAAGATCTACAAAACCTTTGTTTCACGTGTTTGTTTTTTGCCACTGTACTGTCCAACAGACCACATAAATGACACATGGCCTCTCTGATACAATCTGCCAGACAACCATGAAACACGATTTTTTATGTGGATAATTGGCACAAGCTGTTTCTGCAGTGGTGGTTCAAGGCTAAACTGCTGTGTGGACATAGCACTTACCAGGGCCTTTCTCCAGGAAGATGACCTTGGACTCTGGGAAGAAGTTAGAGCCAGTGATGACCATCTCTTCTCCCCCGCTGACCAGACAGCTGGTCAGGCTGGATTTCTCAACCTGGGGCAGCTCTTGAGCTGAACGCTGGGCTGGGAGAGACGCAGCAGGGGTTGAGGAGAAAAGAGGATGATCATTTGCTGAGCTGTGCAGTCTATTCTATGGTTGTACTACAACATAAGCAGACAAATTAACAGGAACACCTTAAAAAATAATGCAGTTTAATGCAAAATTGTCAAAGAATACGGTCTCAAAAAAGACCACAGTCCTTACAGTCTTAACAAAGTGGGTAGTATTTATCGCAGAGCTATAGTAATGGCACAGACAGAACTGAGCACATTTACATTTTTAATATTTATCAGATGTTCTTATCTAAAGTGACTTTCAATGAGAGCAAACGGGAGATTAAATCAACATCCTAAATAACCAGACTGCAAGCTTGCTAATAAAGAAGTGTGTGGAAAGGTTTGTGTGTGTGTGTGCTTGTCTGTGTGTGTTTTTCCTGTGCGTGGTTTTCTGAATGAATATGTTTGGGAGTGTGTGCATGCGTGCGAGACTTGAGGCTGGGAAGTTAACACTCACAGCACTCCACAGGAATAGAGGCAGCCTGCAGCGACAACACCTTCCCGTTGGGTTGAGGGATGTGCACTCGGAACACCACACGGACCCGTGTGTTCTTTCTTCCTATATCCGTCTCCCCCTTCCGCAGCTCAATGTCCGAGTTCCGCAGCTTCAGGATGCCAGCACAGTCGATACTGCAAGGTAGAGGGAAAATAGTTGGCCCCATACGGCACCACCGGGATGGCAATCATCTCAGACATATTTAAGTAGTGAAGGCCTGGGAGTGATAAAATCAACCACAAGCCCAGCAGGGGATTGGCAGTGAGAGGCACATTAAGCGTTGAATCACAAAATAAAAATGCCTGTGAATATGATTTATTACAAGTGTAAATGAGAAAATCCCCACCAAATCCCTACCTAAGAATTCCAATGTAAATGAAACCAGACCTTATATAAATATAATCATTCGGGTGATGCAGAATCATAAATATTTGAATAAAGTATGTTTCTCTGCTCCATGGGAAACCCTCTAATTTTCCTTGTGCCCAACTCCTGTTGGTTTAAATTAGGGAAATCTATTAAATCCCCTTTGGAAGATGTTACAACCCTGTATGATCATAAACGTGGTTATTCTTTCATTGGGCAGGGCTTCCTTCATGGTGGTAAGCTCATAACTGAGCAATGTAACCCTGTAGTGCATCTTACACCTACCTGGCTGTCATGTTGTTTTCGGGCAGGAGAGGAATTTCGAGAACTTTGGTGCTGGAGACGATAATTTCTTGGCTGGCCGTGGCTACGGTTTTCCCGGTGATCCGGTGCACCTGGTAGAAGGCGTGCGGCCTCAAGTAACGGTCGTCTGCTGTTCCGATGAACATCTGCAGGTTGACGGGCTTCTCACTGTAGCCAATGAGCTGAGACACAACAGAGAGAGAGACAGAAAAACTGAATAAAAACAGATGTGAGTTCCTGGGGTCCAGATGAGAGGTGTGAACAAAGGAATACTCTTTTCATTTCCACGGCCTTCAGAAGGCCACCTTTTTTGGAGGGAATCTAAATGTCAGGTCGAGGGTGTTGTGATATTTCTGGCAGGGCCACTGGAGATTCATCTGGCGCTTTGGCCTCCAACCAGTTTGACACTGATGTTTTCAACTAATAGTCTTATAATTTTTTCCCCTTGCACGCCTGCCCCTTAACAGGACTGTGCAGGAAACTGTTACCTCCAAAAACTTAGCAGAACCTTGAAACCTGGCCTGGTCAAAGGTTCCAAGACCTAATAAAAATAAAAACTCTGTGGAAATGTGATATCTGGTGAGTTTATCTTCTCTAATACATTTTAAATTTAACATAAAATCCTACAAAGCATCATTCACATGATTTTCAACTCATTCTGTGAGGTCTTGTGCGTATAAAAAGCCCTCTAATGGTTACACCGTGGCTAAAAGGAAAATAAAAATGCCAGTGAAGATGTCAACAGCCATTTCAAATCCAGTGTTTGGTGCGTGCCAATCTGGTTGGCGTGGGACACATAGACTAGCAGCTGCCCTCTCCATTAGTCCCCGACTGGCACCCCGGTTTTCCCTCAGACAAGTGAAATTTTCAATGAAGGAAAAGTGTTGCGTGTCAAGTAGAGACAAGGGGAAGATGGAAAGGAGAGCAAGACCTTTCCTCCTCAGAGGGACAGAACAAACACGCAGGCCACACAATCCCACCACTGTTGTAATGTTGTACTTGGCAGACTGCATGACGGCAAGATGGCACCCCCCTGCACATACACACTCCCACCATACTGCCCTCATGGTCCACACCTCCAGCGCAGTTGCAGGGCAGCAGAAAAGAACCAGGCCATTCATTGGTGTTTCACCTCAGGAACTGCCAAGCCTCAACCCCACCACAGCTGGCTACTGACCCTTTCCTGCCTGCAGGTTTGCGTCACACACCGCTGTGTCAATGTTTGGTGGGTGGAAGGGGAGAAAGTGGGTGTAGCTTGGGATTTGTCATATGCTATTCCAAAACCATCTAAAATAAAAAGTCTTGGTCACAATCAGGCCCTAGGAACATATGTACCCGAGAAAAGCTGTGAGCAAGCACTAGCACAGAAATGCTGGTAGCCCTTGCTCATTTTTGCATCTTCCTCTCTTTCCCTCTCACGTGCTACTTCCGAGACGGCCCCCTGTGGTGAAGTAAGTCAAGGTATGGGGGCACCTATGTTGAACTGAGCTGTGGAAAAACTGAAATGTGCTGCGTTTACGGCAGGCTATGTGAGAGGACGAGCCTCTAGAGGCAGATTCTAGGCAGGCAGGCGGCGGAGCTTAAATCTTAATAATGCTTCACTGTTCTTAGCTGAATAAAAACCTTGTAGGGTTGTGCTGCTGAGCTCAGTAAAGACCCATTGCTTCCAAAGAAAGGAGTGAGTTGGAATTAATACAGAGGAAAATCTATATCTGTAAAGCAAATGAAATTAGGCTTTTTGTGACTACTTAACATCAAATTAGTTTGGAGATGCACAATGGTTACCTTAACCTTACTCCTTCAGTAAGTGTAACTTTTGTAGATAGTAGTAGCGAGCAGAAAGTAGTGAGTCCTTTGCAGTGCCCTTTTTTAAATCCTATACTGAACACTTCTCTTTCACTTCCAGTGTGGCTACCGCAGTGTCTCATTTTGTTAATCAGAGGAGAGGCCAAAGGCTATACACAAGTCTGTGCTGAGAAGTGCAGGTCCAGGCTGGCTAAACTAATACAGCTTCAGAGTGAGCTGTCTGGTTCAGACGAGCGTTTGCTGCAGTTCAGTTGAGAAATTTGGGAAGAAACTATTTTGGCAAATGGAAAAAATAAAACTAAACTCAAAATCTGAAAGAAGCAAATCTTTACAATATTAGCCTTGCACTGAAATGAAACAAGGGATTGGTTTTACACCAGACAGGGCAAGACTGTTAACGAAGTGGAAATTTGACGTTAATCATAACGTCTACCTGACCAAAAGTCTGTGGAAAAAGCATTGTTGTTTTAGTAAGTTATTAGTCATGTATGATTACATAATTGGGGAAAGGTTTGTTTATCGGTACCAATAAATCAACGATTACTTCGCCAAATGTTACGTGTTTTTTTTTTTTAGGCTTTTCAAATACAATTTCCAACCCGCAGGTTTGTTTTGAAGCAAAAACTCCCCGCCCCAGGCAATGTTGATACTCCACCACATCCTCCATGTGTTTTAACTGCTCAGTGATGGAGGCATGTCTGAATTGGAGTGAATGACTGAACAGATCAGTAATTCACCTTGTTTTTGGTTGTGTGTGTATGTGCCTCTTTACAGAGGGCGCTGCAGGAGACGGAATAAAATCTGAGTGACACTAATCACAGGGATGATGGCACCTTCCTGCTCGCACAAAAGACAGCATACATTTTTTAAATCAAACTTGTAAAGTGGAACTGACAGCTGTTGCATATAGTAAGATAACTCCCCTGTTCTGTATGTGGCACATGAAATGTATTCGGAAGGAAGTTGCACGAAGGACCAGCATGAGGCCCCTATAATAGCCAGTAATGGGTTCATCTTTGAAAACCACATTAGATCTTAAGAGCCACATGAAAGTATAAAGCAGGTAATTATGCACCCCGGTCTGAATGGATCCGTGGCTGTAAATGACACCATTATTCTGGATTCAAAGAAACACAGAGTCACAGGAATCAACAGTCTTGCGGCTTGTGTTGCTTGTTTTATGATTATGTCTGCTCACTGTGGAAGTGAGCGCAGACAGTCAGCGCTTGCACATGTGTGTTTGTGTGTGTATGTGTCCATAAATCAGGGCATGTTTATTCACAGCACCATGTGTGTTCCAGACAGCATTAAATGAGTTAACAGTGTCTGGAGGAATGTAACTGTGAGAGAAGATAGACGGATGTAAGGAAGACTGAAAACGCTTCAGGGGTGTAAATTAGAACAGCACAAAAAGAACAGAAAAATGGGAATACAAATTTGAAAATAAAATTGAGGTTCAACATGTTTAACGTTTAATAAAGTAGAACTACCCAACTCAAAATGTCAACGTCCCATATTTTTTTTCTGTCTATTTCTCTGAGGGATTTGGTGCGGAGCCAAAGTGTTGACAAACATACACTTAGCAGGCCAGGAGTTCTGTCCAAATCAAATAATCAACCAGGAAAACCTGATTAGAGGGCCAGAAAGAAAGGGCTCACTTCAGCGCTCCCAGTGAATCAACACTCGCAGCCAAACAGAAACATGCCACAGTCACAACTGCTACTAAAAACATAATTATTTTTTGTTTGGTGTTTCCACCATTCAGTTCAATTTGATTCATTTAGATAATTTAACAAAACGGATACAGTCAACAATAACTGTAAGCCTTAAAACACAGAGCTGATTCAAAAAATAACATTTACTTTAGCAACAAGAGATCAGTGCATTGGTAGAGCAGGTCGTTAGTACTAGTGTTTCCAATACCTTAATATGATAATACATGATTTTCAAATCAGTTTGCTCTCTAACCTGAACACTGTTTTACATCCCTAAAACGGGATTAGAACTGTGCTTGGTCACTGAGAAAAGCTGTGAGCAAGCACTAGCAAAGAAATGCTGGTATAATGAAACCATGAGCTCCTCAAATAGTCCAAGCGCACTTCAGGGGCCCATTTGCACCTTCAGTTCAGAAAATGGGTAAAGCACCACCTGCGAACAGCAGGACATGTAAACAAGCACACATGGATAATACCAGGCGGAGGAGGCTTCTCGACAGTGAAATGCACACGACACACACACACACACACCCATGACTTGTTTCACATTCCTGAGTCACCCCTCCGCCACCCCCTTAATCTATGCTTGAGTGTGAAATACCACAGGAGGGTGGTCTCTGCACTTTTAACTCCTCACCTTTCTCCCTGTCCAGAGTGCACTTAGCCCATCTGGTCAGTCAGCAAGTAACTGAGGCCTGACAGAGATCAGTTCTTATATTAAACCACACTGACATTAAAACCGGTCACATGTCCCCCAGCCTGTGCTCGTTGAAGCCTGTAACTGACTTACGGCTGCTGCTGCTGCTTCTGACTGTGGATCGAGTTTAGGATGAACTCTCTCCCCTAAAATAAAACCGCTGGATACGGTTACATACTCAGCTCCCACTAAATAAAGTCCCCACTTATTTTTGGCCTTCATCTGTTCCACTGATCCAGTAATAAGGCTCACAAGCTGAGGGGGAAAACATCTCCCATCACAGCATACACACATAAACAGTCACCTGGCCATACACACACCAAAGTGTTTGAACTTTTGTTTAAAATACAAAAAAAATGACAGCAGTACTTTGACCTGATCTGGGCTCTTAGAGTTTTGATGATGGGATATTTACATGGTAGAATTTCACCTGCTCTCTGCAGCCTCTCTTCACATACTGCGTTCCAGCAACTATAAAAGTATTCATTCTTTTTCTGATATAATTTCTTTTCTTAATTTTATCCCTTCATCTGTGCTTTTTATTTTTCCTCTTTTCTGAATCTTTCCTCTTCACTCTTTCTCCCACCCTCTCCTATCCTGACTTCCCTTCTTTGTTTCATCTCTTCCCTCTTCTTTTCCCCTTTGTCACTCTCTCCTCTCCGTCCCTTGTCCTCGCCTCTCACCTACCTCAGCTCCAGCCCTCTGCCGTAACTCGACACTTTCTCACAGCGAGCGCCTGACTCTGCCAAGTTGTTTCCCTGTGTTGCTCCCCTGTTGCCATGGCGAGACTCTCTGTGTGTATGTAGGAGTGTGTGTGTGTGTGTGTGTAGCGAAGCATCTACGTACACTCACGCTGGTGTAAACTACAGCCCTGGAGCTTGTGTCTGGAGAGGGTGTGGTGTGTTAGAATGTGTGGATTTAAAGCACACTACTTTGGTGTAAACTGAGTCTTGGAAGGTTGTGA